GCAAATGCAAAGGCCCAATTGTAAAATCCTACCTGCTTCTTCTCCATCTTCATCAACTCATAAAAATTCACAGCTGGAGATGGTCCTATCTATATCTTTGTAGAAATAATTAGAGTTAATCGTCACGCTCGATAGCGGAATTGACAGTCGCAGTACCAGAGGTTCATGTCGGTCTTAACATTTTACATCCTTAACCTAAGACACACAGCTGTAATGACACACGACAATGTGTCAGCCAAGTTTGGTAAAGACAAGTGCAAATAACCGGCAGCGTGTATATTGTTTACATTAACCATTTCAACCCACACTCAATGACTATAGAACCTACACACTTGTTATTGCATACCTAATAAGGAACTCAGACTCCCAAATTCCATAAATATATCTATTTTAGTCCTTGCGTTATAAAGTTAGAAAAGTGTTGTTATTATCACACTGTTTCACTCATAAAAAACTAAGGCCACTTCTAGGTTGCCTATTTAATTGAAATTTGGCATCAAGTTAGATTGGTTATTGAATATTCGGTGTCGAAAACGTGTCAACAAAGTTATTGGTACAGTTTTGATAATTATATTTCACTTACTGATTACGAGCTTGATAAGATATACGGATTAATGCAAAAGGATACATAGGTATCCCTCCCATCCTTTACATCCTATGAAAGTGAATTGCTGTACATAGGCCTCCCCCATATATTACTTCATAGATTTTGCCATAGTTGCCACGCGTGGCAAACGGGTTTCCAACCAACGTTATTTTACGATTTTGAGTTGTTATCAGGAAGATACTACTCCCATCGACTGTTTCCTGGACGATATGGGATAGTGAATATTATTTATATAAATTCAAATTGGAAAGTGGCAGTGGGCAGCGTTCGGGAAATTACGGCACATCTTCTCGTCAGGTATACCTCAAAACTTGAAAACGAGACTGTACACCCAGTGCGTGTTGCCAGTGATGACATACGGAACTGAGACGTGTTCCTTCACTGCTGGCCGGATGAGGAAGCCCAAGGTCGCTCAGCGAGCTATGGAGAGGGCTATGCTCGGAGTTTCTCTGCGTGATAAACTCAGAAATGAGGATATTCGCAGTAGAACCAGAGTGACCGACATAGCCCAACGGATTAGTAAGCTGAAGTGGCAATGGGCCGGCCATATAGCTCGAAGAACCGACAACCGATGGGGAAGAAAGGCCTCGTACCGGCAGGTGAAGTGTAGGGCGTCCCCCCACTAGATGGAGTGACGACCTGGTAAGATATGCAGGAAGTCGATGGATGCAGGTGGCTCAGGACCGTGCTTTGTGGCATTCTTTGGGGGAGGCCTATGTTCAGCAGTGGACTTGTGAAGGGCTGTAAAGATGATGATGATGATGAAATTCGTAAGTTACAAATAAAAAGTCAGATGACGTAATGGCACAAACACAAAATAAAGAGACTAATCGGAAGAAGGATAATATATTTTTTTGAGATGAGTCACTACAACTAATTATGCAAATATTGATTTCTTCTGTTGCTATAGTCTACAAATAAATCCGGGTCTGAATGTTTATCCAGTTTAGGTATATAAAATTTCTTCATTATTTAGTTGAAAATCCAACTGTCGGAATGACGTTTTTTTTTTTAAATAAATAAATAAATAGCAAAACTACTTCCACAAGGATCTTTTTTAACCTCTAATGCATACGTGAGTAACTTAAAAAGCCCTCGAGAATGTTTAGAAATATTACTTAAATACGAACTTATAATTGAATTTATGTGCTATTGTTTTTAACAATGTTTTTATCCTTAAATTCCCAGGAAACTAATTACAAATTAAATTCTTAATTATCAAGTTAATTGTACGAGTACGTCTGCTCAAATGAAAACTACAATAATAAATTTGAGCTTCAAATATTTATTTTTTGCAGTAAAAGAAAATCATGTTACTAAAATGTATTACTTATTAAGTGTTTGTAATTTTTGTTTTTGATTTTCGTCGTCAATATACTAAAGGATTTATTTATTGAAAACATCGAAGTAAGTGCTACGATAAGTTCAACAAAATGCAACACGTTATTCCATTTAGAGGCCCTTAGTATTTCATTCTGTCAGTCTGCCCTAACATGTTTTTGCAGTATCGTAATTTGTGTAGTTTTTAACTGAATCAAATGTACGATTATACTTTATTCATTAATATACATAGGTCTTAAATTTTAACATGAAAAAATATAACTAACATATACATACACATATATATAGTATGTATGCAACAAGCACTCCTATATTATGTAAACAGGAGATGCAATTTTTGTAACTGTTCACATTAATTGAGGCAACATTAGAAGTAATTATGTAGTTCCTTAAACAATTATTACCATTAAGCATAATTTTAGAAAATCAAGCTTCAAGTAAGCTTCCAATGCGTTTTCTTGTCTTATCTTATTCTTTTTACTTTTCTCTTTTTTAAGCGTATGTTACTAACTAGGTTTTCCCCTGTATCTAGGAGGCGTTTTACGTACTTAAATTGTATAAGGACAAACATAAAGCTGAAACAGTTATTTGTACGCCATACAAATTAATACTTTTTCTGTGCTCGATATAAACTCGCGGCTCCGCAACACCTCGAGCAATGCTTAGCCACTGCGCTACTGAGCTGTCATAATATTTGAGAAATAGATATAATTTAATACAATACATTAAAATTTTAATGAATACAGTAGTTTTTAAACATGAGAAAAAAATTTAAACTAGCTCCTGCCCACGTAGAAACGGAAACAAACAAACATCAACAACAACGACAAGGTAACAAATATCCAAATATATTCTCATTAGTATATGATATAATTCTGCTTAGCGTAACTATACCTAAAACTGTCTCAACACCACCCACTCGGCAAATTTATATATATCCCTTTCCGACATCTTACTTTCAAAGAGTAATAAACTAACATTGTTTTATGGATTTTTTTAGTGTTTTTAAGTTTGCATTAATATCATCAATGGAATACAATGATTTAATTTAATACTTACGTTTAAGACTTTTTATTGTTGAAAATAGAACTATTGTGTTATGTTGGGAATAAGTAATTTTAATTTTAATATAATAAACAACTAAATAACTAAACTAAACTTAAATACTATCATTTTATGATTTTTAACTAATTATAATTAAAATTTTGGCGTAAAAGATAAAAAGGAACTTTTGACGAAAACGATTAATAAGAATTATAGGAAGTCAATGAATGCTACCTGCATTCAAGACTTTGCTTGCTTTATAACAATCTTCGGAGGAGGCCAATATTCAGATACACTCGTGATAAGCCACGATAATGATTATGCAGTGGACATCTTTAATAATATTATATAACATCACTCGTTCATTCGTTCATTTATTACAGCCCTAAAGACATGGAAGACTGTTCCCATCTCTGGGCAGGTTGTTCCCAGTGCCAGCTCCTTCCACTTGACTGCATCCAGCACAGAGCAGCTTGAATCGTCGACGACCGAGTCTTTCCGATCGGCTCGATTCATTGGCACTGCAAAGAGATGTTGCATCCCTTTGCATTTTCTTTCGCATTTACCACGGAGAGTGCTCTGAGAAATTGTTCGGATTAATCCCAGCCGCAAATTTTCACGAACGCACATCGCGGCGGAACTCCCGATACCATCCACACCATCTGGATGATTGGCGGTCCACCACTGTGCGATTTAGAAGATGTTTTCTTCCTCGCACAACTTCACTGTGAAATCGATTACCTAGTTCCCCTGGTGTTGCAGTTGTTCGTGGGCGGCGGTAGTCACTTACCATCAGGTGAGCCGCATGCTCGTTTGCCCCCTCTCCTATAAAAAAAAGACAAGATCGTTGCTGAACACAGGCCTCCTCCCCCAAGGAATGCTAGAAAGCACAGTCCTGCATTCAACGACTTATTAGATGTCAGATAACGATTAAAAAATATTTAAGATTATTCGTCCATAAATGCTTTTGCGTGCTCGCTACAGGCTTTTATTTTCATTAAGACAGCTTGAAGGCTTGTTTTGTTAATGACCAATTTAAAATTTTCTTATTCAAATACAATTTAATATTATAAAAGATTGCGATCTATTGATTTAGAAATAAAAACCAAATCCCTAAATAAGAAACAAAGAAAGTAAGGCTACTTTATTACAAAGGATTCAAATCACGTACTTCTCATAATTTATTATCAGCAACAGTCTAAGGTTGATACCCTGTAAAGAGGATAAAATAAAAGAAACGCTATAAGTATATTTAAATATTTTTTAGTTATAAATAGTATTTCCGATTCGATGATCCATTGAACTCAGACCCAGTAAATTCTAGCCATACATGCAGAAATTTACGAGAAATTGTGTCACCTAATTTAAAAGAAACATTTTTCTTTTGTAAAACTGGCGTGACTAATGAAGTCACAGACCACTCGATGGTAATTTGTTACTGCAATTCATACACACCTGCACCAAACTTCAAACAAAGAAGGCTACTGTTGCGTTGTCCTATGACAACCTCTGACTACCTTTGAGATTTTATTTTATTGATTTCAAAGAGGAATTATTTATTATATTAAGTCCTATTTACTTTTATTACATTTATAGTATTCGCTTAAATATAAAGAACCGTTAAAATCTAAATTTAGAAATAATGGAATGCGATGATGAATTACGTTAATATAAATTCTGACTATTGAAATGTGCGTGAGAACACGTTGAAGTCTTTAACGAGAAAGTAGTGAAATATTTTATTAACTTTATTATATTAAACCGAACCCTTTTTATGCTTGGGCAAAATTGTGTCGACGAGTTATTTTTTCACGTATAAATATTTACTAACAAAACAGACTAATCAACTCCTTATAAGATACTTTATAAATATTGACGCTCTATTGTTTTCATGTAAATGGAATACTTAACGCCACTCCACTTTAACATGTTTCGCCGTGACGTACCAAGTTAGTACATAATATTCTATCCATTCATATGTCGCTCTAGCTAATAGTCAGTGACAATTAGTTCAGTTTCAGAGCAAGCGGAGTTTGGAGCGTTCCACCTGCTGCGTGCGAGCGCACTTATCGGGGACTTATATATATAAGGAGATCTTACGAAACCGTTAGCACATTCGGACTATAGCCAGTACAGGAAGTTAGTTGTCACACGTGAACTAAAACCAAGATGCTGTTCATCCTGGTAATTAACATTAAATAATTTAATCTTTAATTTTAAACAAAAATAAAATAAACAAACATTTAACTACTACTTTACACATAGTACTAGAAGTGCTAAATACGGTTGACCTTCTCGATGATTGCATGATATCTTCAAAGATAGAGATTGCAAAAACTTGTGTCTAGAGCATAATGTTTAATCACACATGATGACACTGTGAATGTCATTAGTGTACAGGTCATATTGACCTATAACTCCTAACCCATCTTCACCGCTAATGTTTTGAGAAAATTCTGTCATTTCTAAAATAAAAAAATGGCAAATTTAACAACGCAAGTGTAATATATTTGTATATATTTCTTTGTGTATTATATTATGTGTTTATTTTATATTTAATATACTTTTTGTATAATAATAATATGTAGTCCAAACTGAAACCACAACCATTATTAATTAGTTTCTTAACAATAACCTATAATAGCATAATTTTTCAGATTGTTAGTGTTTTGTTGCTGACATCGACATCCTTGAGCAGTCCAGCTGTCGAGGGTCAACCCAGACCTCAGGATATTCGTTATGATATGGAAATGGCTAATATGCCCAATTCTTATAAATTTTCGTAAGTATTTTTTTTCACTAATAATCTAGTCAATAAATATACCCCTATTTGCTACAGTTGCTACGCTTGGTAGGCAGGTAGGTGGGGTTGGACCGTACTTTATGTCATTACTCATCTTTTTTTAGCAGTGGACTTGTGAAAAGTTGTAATAATGATGATAATGATAATGGCGTATTTTATTTTAGTTTAATATAACTCTATAGTGCAGTGGTTTCACGGGTTCGAATTTCGCACGAAACATGTATTTGAATGGCTCACAAATAATTGTTTCGGGTCTGAATGTTTATCCTTGTGCAATTAATGTAACGGGTAATTTGGGTAACTTTAAAAAAAGGATAAATATAAAAAGAAATAAAATGAAAAAGGTTAATGCTGGATATTAACATACGTATATAATATAATAACAAATATCCTTAACATTATTATGTATTTTCTGTAACAACTATACAAATATACTGTACTCAAAAGTTCAATTTTAATAATTAAATCAATTTTAAAGTACAATATCGCAAGCAATTTTACAGATTTAGTTTTTACTTATGTTACTTTGGGGTCATTGTTAATTATTTGTTAACTTCTCGTTTTTATTTTTACTCAATTTTATAAAAAGTATCGCACACAATTTAAAAAAAATATCTATTGTGATATGTTTTTTTTTAAATTGTTCATAAATAACAAGGTGGGTGTTTGAGACACAAGATCAATGTGTTTGGGTGACATCAAGTCGTAAACAAACAATAATGTTTTATTTTCGCTACGTTAATATTCAATACGAAAATTTCAAACTACGATCGCTGTATAACATTATGATCCGTATTTTACTTAAAATTCTGAATTATTGGCACCGATTAATTCATAAATTTTAATCTGTTACGTTATGTATTTTTTTTAAAAAACCGTCCTATTTTCGCCCTTTTACTTAACAACACAAAAACAGATAAATACAATAATATATTTTTAAAATAAATTAACCTCCTAGTATTTTGGTTGAGGATTATTTTAAAGCATGGTTGTCTTTGAATTCGACCTCTTAAGTTTGTAAACTTTACTTTGTTTACATACATACATACATATAATCACGCCTCTTTCCCGTGGGGGTAGGCAGAGACCAGTTCTTTCCACTTGCTACGATCCTTGCATACTTGTTTTACTTTGTTTGATGAGAGTATAATGGACTATAATGATTAAAGGCCTCTCCTTTATAATAACTCTTACTTATATATTTAAAAAAAACTATTACTTACTTTTTTACCTTCACATGTGCTTACTTAAGAATGTATAAATCATTTTCTTTTTCATCACCAGCCTGTAAAATTCACAACTGGGTATGAGCGTTTCCTTGGAAGTAAAATTTTAACTTAATCGCCTCACTTAACAAGCGGATAGTACTACAAATATATATATATATATATATATTTAGATTTTTTGTAGTATTTTTTCACTTCTTAGGTTAACTATTGTATTAGAAACTATAAAAATAATTATTAAATGACAATGTGAACAGCATAGTTATATTAAACCGTGGTGCAGTTGGATCAATACAATTACTCAACAATGCTATTGACATATGTTTACTAATGATGCAATGATTTACGATTACGTGTACCCATAACATTTTATTAAAACGCCACATAAACCTAAGAGTAAGGCATCAAAGTTTAGAAACAAACATCTATATTTTAGTTCTAAATCTGAGTCTTAAATCACAACCTACAAATGCGAACATTGACCTATGTGAAGCATAATATTTGTAAAATACAGCATCAAAATTTTTAAGATTTAATACATTATAAATGAGAGTGACATTTGAAATCAACCATTGCTCATTCGTAGCAGAAATCGCGCTAAATAAAATTCGTGCAAATTACATAAATCTCAGAAGTAACTAAAATTACAAAGACATGTCACGATATGAACATTAGAAAACGAAAGCAAGCTAAACATGAGTCATCTCCAAAAACACATCGTCGATTGTTTTCGGGCTACAATGTTTGTGGTATAAACAGTAAGGAATGCCGTATTAATGTAAATTTACCTATATATTGTCATGACGCGTACCAGTATAGCCCGATTAACTAAATACGTGACCAAACAGGTCAAATGACAGCAAGCTTTGTTTTTAGCGAAAGCAGATATCCCTAATACATTACTGTTAATGTAATTTATTGTCACACTCGACTATGAATTTTTATTTTGCTAACTGAGTTCTAAAAGCGAGAAGGTTTTTAGTATATTCGACGGGTATATTTTTTAATTAGGTATATAAGACATACGCCATTATATTACCTAATTACTGAAAATATCTGAACCGATTCTAATGATTCTGCTTTTATTAAATAATTTGTTTTTCAGAGGTGGTTCCATATAATTCTTAAGAAAAAAATGACATTTTAATTGTTTATATAAAATCTTAAGGTACCAAAATACTATTTTATTAATTATTATTATTGAGATTTAATGTTGTAAACACTAAAAATGCCAAATTTATTCTTAAGACATACCAAGCTACAAATCAATTTATCGCAGTTTTTTTTGTTTTAAAAGGTTTTAAACATTCAATAATCATATAAGTTACATTAATTTACTTAAGGCATGTGACAATGATAGTACAAAAAGTAGAACGAAGACATTATATTGGCACAAAAACGTAACTTAAGAATAATGTGTTACGCCTCCTTTAAGTTAAACGGCCATTTGCGGTTCGAATATTCTTATTACAACCCGTTATTTTAATACACGACCATTAACGTAACACATATTTTATATGTCCGTCATTATATTTGACATACATAACTACAGATTTAATAATACACTTTCCACATTAAATACTTGCTGATCAAATCACGACGAAATATAAAAACACTCAACGTCTCACAATAAGAGATTTATCATAATATTATGTAGAACACAACATACCTATTAAAAGTACGCTATTTATTAACAGAAATTAACACATAGATTTTTTTGTGGTGAAAAAGCTACGCTACATCTGTTTCATGGTTGATGAGCTATAAAAATCTCCTATAAAAAAAGCAACGCATCTGTATTTTGATTCTTAATCTAAGATAAATGTAGATGTCTATGGGCCACAGCGTCCACTAACCATCGGGTGGACTGTGTGCTCCTTTGTCACCCTTATACTATAAAAAAATACACATAATACCTATTATGGTGTTGGTAAAAAAACCTCCAATACCCTTGTATTTTATTATTTTGTAAATGATAAAAAAATAAAAATGTTTGCAACTACTTCAAACGTTTTGTAATTAGTTTGTGTAGTACTAATCTAACACCAGGTGTAATGACCCTTTAATTCTTTATAGTACGGAACATAGTAATTATATTGAACTTATATTTTATATAAATAAGACGTAGCCTATTTTCATTGGTATTCTGTACTGTTTATTTTTATATTGACACAATACCATTTTATATTCAGTACGTATCGTGACACTAAAAATTTCAACTTTCTTCTACAAAATCAAAAAGCACTTGATAGTTAAAAGTTGAACTTTACAAATACTAACAAAATTTTACGAATATGTTAAAGGAAAACAACATAAATTGCGTTTTATTTTATGTTGATTTCATTTTATCCCACATCATATAATCATACGCAGAATGTTAATAATTTGATCAATATTCATTGAAATTCAAAGAATCTTAGCTATTCTGACATTATTAACATCAATAGCAGCCTTTTCAAGACCACTGATGTACATTAGTCTTTTAAAAATATGTTAACAGCCATGTATTAGATTCATATGTAATTTTCATAAGTTCGCAACATACAATAAGTTCCACTCCCGGGCACAGGTCTTCTCTTATTTTGAGAGGGTTATGACGCAGTTAGCTTGCTGCGCGCTGCTTTCCTTTTTTATATAATTAGGGTAGCAAATGAGCACACAGTTCACTTGATGGTAAGTGGATGCTGTGGCCTATAGACATCTACATTTATGCTCGATTAAGAATCAAAATGCAAATGCGTTGTCACCCCTGAAGACTAAAATAGAATGCCAGTAAAAAGGGTCTCCTATTCTCTACACTCACCATACGAAACACAGCAGCCTTAAGTTGCTACTTTACGCTGGTGTTCTGTGAAAACGTGGTTCTACGCCAGTGGAGCCGACCCATTCCTGCTACAACTAATATAGCTGTAGCATGGCTCTAGCGCGTATAAATGCCCTATTTTATTTATATATTTATTTGACAATTTATGTACACACAAACTAATGTTACAATGAAAAATAAAAGATATTTCGCATAAAGGCACTGCTTCTTTTACATTGAAATTCCTTCCAGCAGGCCCGATATTGGGCAGATTCAAAGTGAAGCAGTACACTTACTGCACACAGAATTCACAAGACCACAAAATATTTCTTTTCAAACGGTCTCTAACTGTTTTGAACACCAATAAGTTGCTTATATATTAATGGCACTCAGCTCAATCGACGTAAAAAAAATTCCTGAATTCAAATATGTATATTGTTTGTAATATTATGTATATCATCCGTGTCCATATCGCCCAGGATGTCGCTTAAACTATTTTCTTTATCACCATTTATAAATGGTTTGTTGAAAACTTGCTAGTGCTTGTTAGAGCTGTGTATTTAAATGCCTTATTTTTGTATAAAAACTAGCTGTTACCCGCGACTTCATCTGCTTGGCATTCAAAACGATTGGATGTTGTTTTTTCGCCAAAAGAAAAATAGCCTAAGTTACTCCTTATAACATCAGCTATCTGTCAGTGAATTCCCTCAAAATTGGTCCAGAGATTTCGGAGATTAGCCGGAACAAACCGACAGACAGACAGACAAAAATTTAAAAAATTATTTTATTGTGTACTTGTAGTACGTATATATTCGTACTTTCATATGCATTAATTAAAAAGCTTATTTGTATAGATTACATGATCTCCAAAATCCAGGAATGGCAAGTTAAGTCAAGATACAACAACAGTCATGTTGTTCACTAGCTGTCCCTCGCGACTTTGCCCGCGT